ATCGGCCTACCCCCCCCCCCCTACCCCCCCCCCAAACCCCGAACCATGCCCCAAGCAGGAAAAAAAAATAAGCAAACACTTCTCTGTATTATTAACTTCGTTGAGACTCAAATCCTCCTTTGGTGGTTCGCATAACTATATACTCCCTCTGTTCCATTATATATGTAACTATTTCCTTTTAGTTGATTCTAAAAAGAATGACACTTATTGTATTTGGTATATCTCGACTTTGAACTCTACTTTTATCCTTAACAGCATGCTCTTGAATTGTCATGGTATGTTTAAAACCACAAGTTCTAGGGGTGGTTTTGGCATGTGTAGAAGTCTTTTTTCTTTCTTAATTCTATGTTCAATCAGATATCAGTCGTATAAAATGAAACAGATGGAATAGTATTGAGTATTATGCATCTTGCTCAAGTAGTTTTGGTAATTCGATACCACTGAATATTATGCTTGCTCAATGAATTCATTGCTTATACTAGAAAATATTGGAGGCATCTTTGGCACCATAGTCCTAATATTAAGGTTTTATAAACTTGACTACATTGTTTCACTGGTGGGAATGGATTGTGATATTGCTAGTAATTTGTCCAAGATCCTCACTGCAACTGCTAAATCTCTATCCTCTTCTAAATCTTATCATAGTTTTCTCTTTCCCTTGCCAACAAGAGGTTCTTTCATCGGTATGACTCCACAAAATCTTCTCTATTCCATTGATCTCTTTTGTTTTTAGAGAAACAACTAAGCAAATTTTGTTCCTAGACCACAAACAAGTGAGTTTTTTGCAAACAAATCTCTTGATGCGAGTGGCTCGTCTATCTAATTATCTGTTCTGTATGAACTCTAAAATAAAACTGGGGGAGTTGTTCAAGTAAGTGAACAGGAAACTTAATGCAATTTGGGTATACTTAGAAACTTGCAAGACTTGAACACCTAAGCTCAAACTGAAATTGATTTAGGTAAACACTGGAGAGCATGCCTTATGTCTTATCACCAAATCCGAAAGAAGACTATTGTCTTATGATATGAGAACGGGAACTTACGCAAATGTCCCAAATAAGTCTCAATATATCAACCTCTAGCCATTAGTCATAGACTTACCAAAACTAGCCAAGTACATATAAAAATTAAAAAATCAAATAAATAACGTTCTTTCTCTCAAAGAACCACATGCAAAAATCACCTTCCATATTTTTAAGCGTGATTAGCAACATTAGATACAAGACGGAAAGAAAATTTCATGGATGAGGTAGCAAATAAGGTGATCAAATAAAAAAATAAAAAATTCCAAAAATCTAAGCAAAAAAGGAACTTTTTCAATGGGTATAGTTGAAATTCATTATAAACATATAGATAAGTCAATATACAAAATTTGAGGAAGATTGGAGGTGATTTGGACTGGTTTTGTATCAAAATTCGTAATTAAATCGAGTTCAAAAAATTCTTCTGCGACACATGTATCAAACATGTATCACGCATGTATCTCACACACATGTATACATGGATATACATGTGATACACAATTGATATAAATATGATACATATGTGATACACAAATAATACACAGTGTGATACACATATCACTTTTTTTCATATTCAGTTTTTACTTCGAATTTTCAATTCAAACCACCTCAAAAATTCACCAAGTCATCCCAAAACTTAGATTCAAGCTCCTTAACTTGTACCCAATCTATTCTAATAACACCCACTCAAAAGAAAGCAAAAACTTACATTTTTTTGCTACAAATAGCTAATTGGCTAATATTAGTAATATTTTATGAATTGGCCAATTTTTGTAATGATCTACTTATAAATGGACATAGTTGGTAGTTTCCCTTCAATAATCACCAACTTTTCCAATGAATCAAACCAACTCTAATTTTTAAAGAACACGAGTTCAATTTGAGTACAACAACAAACCCAATATAATCCCACAAGTGGGATCTAGGGAGTGTAGTATGCACACAGACCTTACCACCTTACCCTTATCTGGAAGGTCGTTTGGTACGCGGATTAAATTAGAGATTTTTACCTCCTATAGCAAAGGTTAACACCTTATTTATTTTAAATAACTACCATTTAAATAAATTATATTCTATAGATACTTTTTATGGTTTATAGCAAAATTTCTAATTTTGGTTATCTCCTACACTTAAGCCACTAAACACGCTATATTTTCTCTCTCCCTTTTCAGATTTTTCTCTCTCATAATTACCGTATTTCATATAAACTTCTCAATACACGTTCTTTCTCTCTCTATTTTGATACACTCTATTCTCTTTCCCATTCTCTGTAAACACGCTCAAAACCAGAGAAACCTATCACCCACATCGCTTCCTTCTTCCCCAATCTCAGTATGAACCCTAATTTCCTCGCGATTATTGTCATTTGTTTCTATAATTAGTGTGGTAAGTATTTAAATATTTTGATTTTCGCTATTTTTGTTTATTCTCAACATCTCTACTCACCAAGTTTTCTCTAATCAACAGTATCCAAGCGTATTCTCACAATGTCTGATTCAACACCCCGCAAGTTGATTACCAGAGGTATACCCACTAAAATTCTCACTTTCGATGGGCCCTCTTTCTCCTTGCAAATCACTCAAGGGGAATTGGATGCAGGTTTAGCAAAAAATATGGCATTGGAGAAGAGAACAAAATCTCGCCATGACAATTTCAAAGAAACCCAAGATGAGAAATCATTGAAGGAAACAAGACTTCCCATTGCGGAAAATAGGAAAAAATATATTTCTGAAGCTTCATCTGTCAAGGGGAAGGAGGTTGAAGCAAGTAAAAGCTCGGATACACTGGAAGAAAAGGTAATTTCTGATGTATTCATCTGTATTGTTGATGTATTTATATGTATAAACATGTTGACTTCTCTGTTTTTTATGTATATAAATACATGTAGATGTATTTAGATTTATTCAAAAAGTATATTCAATGTATTTTTGTACTTACAGCAATCAATGATACAAATATGTAGATGTATTATGATGTATACAAATTTTGACTTTTATTGAATTGTATGTTGCATAATGCATTTAGATTTATTTAGATGTATTCAAATAGTTCTTTCACTGTTTTTTACCTTACTAGACTGACCTTTTCATATTGCATATAGTTTTATTTATAAGGATTTTCAAAGTTCCCATCATTTTTTATACTAATTGCAATGTCTTTGTTTGTTGTATGTGTATGTATTATATATGTACATATATTTCTATCACTGACTTCTTACTCCAGTTTATTTTTGCAGTTTGTATTCAGTTGTATTTATATGTATTCATAACAGTTATACTATGAAATATGTGTTGTATTGAGTTGTATTTATATGTATTTATTCTTGTTAAATGCAGGAAATTAAGCTATTTGTGAAACAACAGCCTATATTTGCACATGAAATGGATATATCCATATATCTCTGACTCATATTTACGAGATGATAAAATATGGCAAAAGCTATACCGAAAATTAGTTCGCGTAGGAATGGACGCATTGGTTCACATAAGGGTGCACGTAGAATACCAAAGGGAGTTATTCATGTTCAAGCAAGTTTCAATACTACCATTGTCACTGTTACAGATGTACGGGGTCGAGTAGTTTCTTGGTCCTCCGCCGGTACTTCTGGATTCAAAGGTATGAGAAGAGAAATTGATAGAAAAGCAAGGATATGGGCTCGTGTAAGTAGGAAACAAAAAATATCTATTCTAGTTCTATCATCAGCGATGGGTTTGAATCTAAGAGAAATTCTAGAGAATGTTTGCTATCCTAAAATTTTTTTATCTTTTCTGAGTGATAAGGAGAGAAAAAAAATTGGGTCAAAAGAAATGTCATTTTGGAGTTTTATCAATAATTTGCTTGTGTAGGTGGCGATGCATATCAGTGTATATACTAACACAGACATAGTCTCCGATCTCAAAGAAAATCTTACTCCAGAGCAGTACAAACAACTGGGTAATACTTGTTTTGGAAGTTTCCTTGAAATGAAGCGTTGTGAAGTCCAACACCAACTATTCAGATGCTTCATGGTTCTGCAGTTAGAAGGTAGTCCTAACGATGTATTTTCAATATACGTCAATGGTACAACATTATCTTTTTCAATAAGGGAGTTTGCGCTTGTGACTGGCCTCAAATGTGTTGGTAACGCTGCTGATTTTCAGTTCAATGAAAAGGTTCCTACTGTTTCAATCAACATTTTTCAGGGATTGTGGGGTGCATGTTGCGGCATACGCAGAGTTTCTGAGCACTCTTGGTGAGGTTCCACAAACAACATTTGATTCTAATCTAATCCGTCAAAGACATGGTGCTCTCCTCTGGGACTATGCTATGCGGAAGATAGACACTGATGCCATAAGCGAGAATGAAGCACCCTCAAAGATTGCTAGGAAAATCACGGAGTCAGATTCAAAGTTGAAGATAGTGTTAGAGTAGCTTTAGGTGAATGTAATTTTGGAAGGTTGTTTTATGTGAATGCTGTTTTTTGAATAGTTTTTTAGTGAAGATGGTATTCAGTTAGAAAAACCATGTTTTAATCACTTTATCAACAGTGTTCATATATGACCATTTCAACTTTTCAATCTATGTTTCATTGTTTTGTTCATAAGTATTCATGCTTAATCTACAGTTTCTATTCATATGTATCCAACAGGATATATTCATATGTATTCAACAGGGCGTATAAGTATGTATTAAGATTCAGTCACTTCGCTTGTATATCAAAGTCAGAAACTGTATGTTACAGGTTTATACATATGTACTCACCCTGATGTATTAATTTTACTTAAGCAGGTTATATTCATACTTATACAAATCTATAAGTAATTGTATTTATTTGGTTGGATTTGTATAGTCAAGGCAGACACAATGTATAAGACAATTTGTATTTTTGTATGTATTCAACATTGTATATTAGTATGTAATCAGATCCAGTCGTGTGCATTGTATATCCAATTCAGAGACTGAATAATACACTGGCTAT